TTGGCCATGTGCAAGGCCAAGTGCTCTATCTGCTCTGGACTATTTCTCCAGCCCCGCCCCCCCCATTCTTTGGTATACAAGAAGAAACTTCAAAAAGAACTAAATTCCCACTCTGTTTCTATAAAATAAACTGCTGCTCTACCTGGGACCATAAAGGAAGTTCACAGAAAGGCATGATGGTTCCCTGCTCATCTCTTTCATTCTTTTTATTTCTGATCATGTGCTGTCAGTGATGTAGGCTGACATTTCCATTAATAATCACATTTAGTTTATAAGTGACAAAATATCCTGCGTGTCCCCCCAACCAAGGACTGTTGTAGAAAGTGACTGAATGAGTGTGCTCTCTTCTGTTAATGTACACCCAACCTATTTTATCTGAAAGCTGACTAAACTGACCCAATACGGAAGCTGTCCCTACAGATGTAGATACTGGAGTGCTCTGTAATTATAAATAACCCAGTCTTTAGAATAAATCAAATTGACAGCTTGTAGGCCCACAGTGACAAGGATATCAAACAGACATAACTTCCCATTTAGATAAAATCACTACACTGGTAGACCAGAGAAATTATTTGACAGTTTTTAAAAAGTCCTCTATTAAACATCCTGCAAGATATTAAGTAAAAAAACTGTCACTGTCACTGTCCTCCCGTTGTTCATCGATTTGCTCGAGCGGGCCCAGTAACATTTCGATTGTGAGACTTGGTTGTTACTGTGTTTGGCATATCAAATACGTCACGGGTAGCTTGCCAGGCTCTGCCGTGCGGGCGAGATACTCTCGGTAGCTTGGTAGCTTGCCGAGCTCTCCGAGAGGGGCGGAGGAATCGAACTCGGGTTGGCCATGTTGGCTGCGTGCAAGGCAAAAGCCCTACCCGCTGTGCTAGTGCTCCAGCCCAAGTAAAAAAACAGGCTGTAGAAGGCTGTAGAATTTTGCGTTTTTTTTTCTTTGCTTTTTGGGTTACACCTGGCAATGCACAGGGGTTACTCCTGGCTCTGCACTCAGGAATTACCCCTGGTAGTGCTCAGGGAACCATATGGGATGCTGGGAATCGAACCTGGGTCGGCTGCGTGCAAGGCAAATGCCCTACTCACTAAGCTATCGCTCCAACCTGAATTTTGTGAGCTTTTTGCGTTTTTTTTTCTTTGGGGGGGGGGGGAGGGTTCTTTCTAGGGGGAGGGGCCACACCTGGTGCTCAGGGTTTACTCCTGGTCAGCACTCAGAAATCCCTCCTGGTGTGCTCAGGAGACTACAAGCGTGCAAGGCAAGCGCTTACCTTCTATACTATCACTCTGGCCTGTTTTGCTGTTTGTTTGGGGGCGATACCTGGGGATGTTTAGGGGTTACTCCTGGCTTTGCACTCAGGATTATCTCCTGGCAGTGCTCAGGGGAACATGCAGGATGCTGGGGATCAAACCCAGGTTGGCTGCATGCAAGGCAAGCACCTTCCCAGTGTACTCTCTCTCCAGTAACCTGCTTTAGGTTTCTTTTATTGTTACTGTTGAAATTTGGGCCACGCCTGGCTATACTCAGAGATTACTCCTGACTGTGCACTAGGGATCACTCCTTGGTGGGCTCAGGGGCCAAATGGGATGCTGGGGATAGAATTCAGGCCAGTGCCCGACCCGTTGTACCTCTCCAGCCTGAATTTTGTTTGGTTTTTCAGCCGCACCCAGTGGTACTCAGAGGATCATATGAGCTGCCAAAGACTGAACCTGGGTTGGCTGCATTCAAGACAAATGCCTTGTCCCTGCACTATCTCTCCACCTCCATAATAATTTTTTGAGAGCGCCTCACCCAGCAGGATCCTGGCCTTGCGCTCAGAGATCACTCCTGGTGGGACTTGGGGGACCATACAGGGCTCTGGAAATTGAACCTGGATCAGTTGCGTGTAAGGCAAAGGTACCCACTGTACTATCTTTCAAGTCACATTAATTCCTTTTTTTAAAAAATTGATAGAATAATGTTTCCACAAGAACTCTAAACCTGTGTCAGTGATAAGAATTCTCCAATGGAGACTTACTCAGTTTCGAACTGGCCTTCAGTAGAAAGCTTACAACGGGGGGAGGGGAAGGGGACACATTGGGACAGTGGTGGAGCAAAGTAGATTTTCTGGGGGAGGGAGTGGTGCCGGACTGTGTGATTCATGGAACTCTATCATTAATAGAATGGCTAATGACGGTGCCTGAAATTAAAAATAAACAAATACAAAATTTGAGGGTCACAGAGACAGCTAAAAAGGCTGAGCTCATCGTGCTCTGCACACAGGAAGCCTGGATCTGACTTTCCGGCACAGCAGTGCCCCCAGGGCTGCTGGAGTGATCCCCGACTGCAGGGCTGGGAGCAGCTCCCCAGGACTGGTGGGTGAGGATCCAGAGCAAAGAAAAACATAAAGAGTTACTTCATCTAGCTCTCTCTAGGTATTCAATACTATTTTTTATGAGTAACTTGAAAGATAATGAAGACACGTCTACCAAATTTGCAAATATGGGACAAATGACAAAAATAATGTTTGAAATAACTGATCTAGAACACATGAATTCAAAAAAGAAGAAATGGCATTCAATAGAAGTACATATGGATCTGCATTTTAATTCCAAAAGTCAACTAGAACTACCAAGCATATGAGAGAGGAGAGATTTACTTTAAGAGCACTTCATATGGGGCTGGAGCGATAGCACAGCAGGTAGGGTGTTTGCCTTGCACGCAGCCAACATGGCCGACTCAGGTTTGATTCCCAGCATCCCATATGGTCCCCAGAGCACCGCCAGGAGTAATTACTGAGTGCATGAGCGAGGAGTAATCCCTGAGCATCGCCGGGTGTGACCCAGAAAAAAAAAGCACTTCATATGGGGGAAAAATTGACTTCAATGTACCCCAAGATTTACAGACATGAGCAGGGGGCCAGGGTTGCCATAAGTTAATCCATGCAGTAGGCAGTGGGTGTCCTAACCGAAACACAGCTCCACACAATTCTGGACTGGCCACAGCACACCTGGGCATTCTGTTCTCCACGCCTAGGAGAATGCCTGTTCTTCCAAGCAGTAATCGGAAAACCCGAGAGACTTTCGGGTAAGGGCAACAGGAACAGTGAGGCTATGAAACTTTCTAATTCAGGAAAAGGCTGAAAGAAATGGGAATGTTCTACCAGAAGAAGAGAAAATTAGGGAAGACATGAGGGTCGCCTTCAAATATCTGAAGGAGTGCTATGCTGAAGAGGGAGTAGAATGGTCGTGTGTTTTAAAGGGCAGAACTAAAACTAAAGGAAAGTTATAGGGAAGTCATTATAGTTAAAAAATTAAATAAATAAAAAAGCCAAAGCAAAAACCCTCTACAATGAGGAAAGCCATCAGCAAATAATAACTCTCAGGAAGGCATTCTAATGGGACGCTGGGTCAGAGGAATTCTAGACTCTTTTCCAACTAACTTTCCCAGCACAGGAGCTCCTGAACACTGTCTGGCTTGGAACAGCCTGGCACACTCTGACCAAGGGAGAAGCTATGTCTGTTCCTACTTTATAAGGTGTCAAAGAACAGAGGCGAACCTTTACTACCAAACTGGCAATCCCTTCAAAGTAGTCAGTCACCTTTGATGGCTGCATTCAGTGCTGCTGGTGGTGAAAATCACCGAAACTCTTTCAGGATGCCTTTCATGTTGCTTCCAACTCACTGAAGCGATCTGGATTCATCACTACTAGACACATGCACTACGTGCTGATGGACACACTGATCACACAAGTATAACCAAACAACAGACTCATTTCCAAACAAAATCTATTACTTAATTTGATCACCAGTTCCTCCCCCCATCCCACCCGGTAACTGGTGGTACTCAGAGCTCAATGCTGGCTCCGCACTCAGAGATCACTCCAGGCAGCCTAAGGGGACCATATGTGGTGCTGGGGACTAAACCGGGGTCAGTGGCATGCAAGGCAAACATGCTACCTGCTATACTGTCCTTCTTGCACCACTGATTAATCCATCAGTCTTACTCAAGCTCAGCTCCCAGTGATATTTGAATGACTAAAAACACCCAATTCATTCTTGCATGAAATTTGACACTGGGTATAAACTAAATATTACAGGAATGCTTAAATACTCACAAAACGTTAGATCAACTGAAACAAAGGCAACACGACCAGAATAAGAACACAACCTAAGTTCAATGCTTTGAGGGAATGTATATATGCCTGTGTTTTGTTGCTACTGTTTTTCTTTATCTTTTAAAAGCCTGTTATTTTCTTTTTCATGTTCTGGGTTCTATTACAAAGACTTAAAAAACCTAGTGCCACTAATTTTTCCGTGTTTTGCATGTTCCTGTACAGTCTTAAAAGTTGGCTGTTACCCTCATTTCAAGAAACTATGTTTTTAAAAACCAAAACCAACACCATTAGCGGTATTTAAATTATAAGTGGTTTCAATAACAGAATTTTTGGTGGTGCTGGGGACTGAATCCAGAGCCTCCCACATGCAAGGCTCACACGCTATGGCTGAGCATCCCAATCCAATAGGGAAAAATTTCAAATGAATATTTTATTCATGATAGTGGGGCTTTGATAATTCGGACCACTTGAATGTCAGCTGAACACAGTAGAACATCTGGGATCAAAGTCTCTTTTCCTATGATGACAGTTCTTATCTATTTCTATATCTATATTAATAGATAACAGTTCTGATCTTTTTCTGTGAACTAAAAGCTTTACATCTCCCTGTACATATTAGCCTCTAATTTGGATAACTTTCTTAAAGGAAAAAAAAAACTTTCTTAAAGGAAAAAAAATTCAAAATACTAATTTCTAGAACCCTCAACGAGTCTTATGAATTTTAGAGGACTAAGAATGAAAACTACAAATCGTCACCAGAGGGAGAGTTTTAGTGGCGGTTAGTTGGGCATCGGCCAGTTTGTCGTCTCTGCATTGAGTGTCTGTATCATAGAGTCATCCACTTTTTTTTCTTTTGTATTTTAACAGAATGCCTGGTACCCAGTAAATAAAGTTAAGAACCTGTTAAGAACTGCAGTGAAGATTTTGTTCTTTACAGATTGCAGCAAGTCTGAGTTGAGGAAGTTCTGACAGATGCAAAATGTACACCTGTTGCAGGTGCACATACAGCGTAACCGGGCATGGCTGCGAAAACACACAGAAGGACAAGTGTTGAGTTCTTACTTACAGATATGGCACCAGTCAGGGTGTGCCGACTTAAAAAAAAAAAATCTAGGCATAAGCAACACTAAGGAAAAGAATATCGTGGGGCATGCTAAAGCTGTGCAGAGTTCCACATTCACCAAGATACAAAACAAACAGCAATATCTCCCTACTCCCTCCTTATGGAAAATCCAGAGAAAATATGCTAACACATATTTGCTTTTCTGGGAGGGGGGATGGAATTATAAGAGTTTTAGTGGAATAAATGTGCACAGCAATAGAAGGCACCCTCATCTGAATAAAAAGAAAAATGGAGTAAGCCACAGCACCCACCAAAAGGACAAAGTTTGCTAGCATTTAAACAATTATTCCCGCCTCCTCCTCCTCTTCCTCCCTTAGCATACATACATGCCTGGAAACCAGGAAGGAGAAGAGTGACAAATACACAAGAGTCAAAGACGAGTATATTCAACCCTGATCAGATATGAACAACATCGTCTTTAATTCATCAAGCACCCTGGCTCCCAAAGGAAATCAAAGTGCTTCATAAATTTCCACTTGAGCAAAATGTAGGGTCAATTTCATCGGCTACCAAAACACAGCAGCTAAGTTATGACAGAATGAAACTCCCGGTAAGGATGCAAAAATAAACAATGGACCCAATGGATATGAGGTCTGAGATTTCCGGAGGCTTTCTGACTCCTTTCTGACTGAATGGAGTTGCATTAATTGATAAGGGCACATGGGGTAGCCCGTTTCACCTGTGCCCTAACAACCAAAGTAGGGGGTCTCCAGTGACTGACCATGGCCAGAGTCACTCAGACCTACAAAGCCATCACATCACCCCTGAAGAGGAACTGGCGCAGAACCCACTCAGCATCAATGCCATCACTTCCTGAAACTCCTGAACAATTTATAGAGGTTTCTCAGTCAAGGGACTGGCCCAGTCTGACTTGGTTTAGTTTGTGAGATCTGATGAGATCACAACACTCGGTGGCATGGTTGTGGAGATTAGCAGCATCCCAATAAGGCCTAATTGCCAACATGAAGAAAAACAAGAATTAATTTTTTCCCCCAAAAAACTATGTAGGCTCAAGATATTCCTTTCAAAAACTTGTGATGATGAACATATATCACTGCTAAGTCATTGCCAGCTGTCATACTGGAATCCATTTGTTATTTTATAAATGGAACCTGACTCGTCAACATACACAGGCTCCGCCCACCAAAGGGGAGGGGTGGAAAGTTTGCTGAGCAACAGGGAGATGCTTCATGAGAAGTGGTTTGGGGTTAACTGTATAAACATGTGTCCATGTATGTACATTTATCATATACACACACACATACACACACACATTGGTAAGAATTGCAGTAGAGTGTTAAAGATGCAAATCTAAAAGCATAGTTGCAATTATTTAAATAGCGCACTTATATAGTGAAAAAGAAAACAAAAGACACCATAATATACAGTAGGGCTGTAAAGCTGGATCAAGCAGTGCGTTTCTGTACTAAATTATGTTAAGAAAGGAGATTTGGTCATCCTACAAGAAAATATCAACAAAATGCCACAAAAGTCATAAAGAAAAATTAACTTACAAAGCAGTTTTTAGAAAGACCCAGATTTTTCTCAAATGCTCTATTCTATCAGTGTTGCCCATGTCTCGGGAGAGTCTGTTTCTGTAAGGATGCTCTCTGTAGATAACATACGTGAGAGTTTTAAAGCAAAGGTAAGACATAAGTAAGGTTGCACTTATATTCATAGGAATGATCTGACTTCCAATACAAATAGAATTTCAAGGGGTTTGATTACTGCATTTAAAAAAATATTTGTAATAGAATAGCAGTAAAGTTGTTAACTCTGATTTGAAAAATCTACAAATCAATATGTTTCTGAAAAACCCCAGCTTACAGCAATGCCCATTACTATATTCTAAACTGCAGCTTTTATAAAAAGAAAAATAATTTAGAGACTAACATAGTAATGAACTATTGAGCAAATTCCTAAGAAACGCACTGCCTGAAGAACTATTCTGTTACAAACAGAATTTATAAACAGTACTGAAGAATGCCATAAAGAACCATGCAATTTGAAGGTGATTAGTAAACTACAAAAACGACCACAGTTATATGCTAGTGCATATGCATGTGTAGATATAGTATAAATGTACATAAAACATGTGGCTTGTAAGATAATATAAAACATTTACATGGTGGGAATTCCAATTGCAACTACTTTTTTACAGCACTTAAAAGACATTACATTTTGAACTTGAATACATTCCCAGATTCTAACAAAAATCTCTGAAAGAGGTTAGTGTCCTTCATATATTCAAGGTCAATTATCAACCAAAATAAGTCTAAAAATAAAATTTTTGGTTACTTATAGAAATACTCTATAAGTATAGAGCAACATGATGCCAATTCCATTTCACTGCAGTAAATAACTGCAGGTTCCTTAATGCTGGCTGAAGGACTGAAATTTCTTGTTACTAAGTTATAGCTTGCTCAAAATTACACAAATTGTCAGACCTGGTTAGTTTTTACTGGGTATCCAAACCAATCTAGCATTTGCTCAAATTTGTTCCTTCTCATTACAAAGTGTCTTTCTGTTGCTGAACAACTTCAATGTGACAAAGATGCTACCCTTCATGGCTAAAAATGGCATGCAATGTAATTATGAAACATGCACAGGAAATCGAAGGCAGAGCAAGTACTTACGGGTACATGGCCATCGTTGTCAGTTTAACAAAGATGTCTTTATTGGGTGCATCAGCAGTATTGCAAGTGAAGGCTTGTGGTGGAGGCATTTTGTGTTTCCTGCAGAAATCGGTAGGTGAAATACTATATTCTTGTTTAACTTCATGCAGGTCTGACTTTGCAGCTATGATTAAACAAGGTATTCTGCTGTCCATAAAGTGTTGCTATGGAATACACAAAAAAACAAAAAACAAAAAACCTGAAAACCATCAATATTTGATGATGAATTCAAAATTTACCAAGTTTAAGTAAATGTGCACCAAAAGGTTTCTTAGCGAGGCAAAAGTATCCAGTTTGAAGGAGACTCTGCAGGAAAAGGTGGACTGAGTAGCAAAGACCGGTAGTGACCAGGGTCTGTTTCACAAGGTCAGGCTGCTTTCCTAATGCTGCTAACAATACAAATTATAGATCTTCAGATCCACTATAATTAAAAAACTTTTTTGGAACTGAAATAGGTAATACTTGATTGATGAGGTCCTGGGTTTGATCTCCCCACCTCCCCGCAAAGACACGTACTTGAAATGGAGTAATAAAGTCCATCCTAAAATGTACTATTTTCATACAAGAATCCTTAGTACTTGCACATATATATATATACATATATATATATACACACACATATATGCCTGTCTTTACATACTTGCCGACATGGTGGACATCACCATTATTAATATTTTTGTTTATTTTGGTTCTGGGCCACACCTGGTGTTCAGGAATTATTCTGGGTGGTGCTTGGAGACAATATGGGATGCTGGGGCGCGAACCCAAGTTGGCCACATGCAAGGTGAGTCGGCCAGCCACTATACTATCTCTCTGGACCCCTCAAGGGCATGATTTATATGCAGAAGCCCTAGGTTTGTGATCCCTGGCACCTCACCACTCTTGTTGTATTGCCAGGAGCAAGCCCTGAGCACTATGTTAGGAGTGGTAGACCCCAATCACTGGCAGGTATGGTCCAATTTTTTTTTTAACTGAAAGAATGAACATTAGTCAAGAGGGGGAAAAAGTTGTTTTTTAAAATACAGATGTCTGGGATTCTCCGACCTCAGTATGAAAAAACAGAATACATCTTTATTCTGTGTTCGGGCTCACATATAGACACATGCTTTATGGTGGTGCTCAGGAGCTACTCCAGGCTTGGTGCTCAGAGGTGACTTGTGGCAGTGCACGGAGAACAAATAATGCCAGGAAAGAACTTAGTCTTAAACTTGCAAAGCTTCTGCACTGGCCCTTTGGGCTATCTCTGCGGCCCTGCTCCAGAGGGGCCAGAGAGATGGCTCAATGGACTAAGCACAGCTCTGCATGCGGGAGACCCAACTTCAATCCTTGGCAACATATGGTCCCCCAAGTACCTGCAGAGAGAGACCCCTGAGTACAGAGCCTGGAAGAGTCCATGGATGTCACTGCACATGACCCCCACCCCCACACACACACCAAAAACACCCCCAAAACTAAAATAAATGTTAACGGGCTTAATAAATGTTAAATTATTTCCTTGTATTTCTCTGGTTAGAAACATCATTGTAATTCCATTAACCCCCACATACAGTTAAACTTTGTTACAAACCAGATGAACAACAAACCTTAAAGATCCTGGCACAGTATTCAAAGGATTTGGGGTTACTGACATCATATACCAGGCACACTACATCACAAATGATCTCAGCCTCAGTTAGAAACTCCGATTCTGAGATATCATGCAACTTGAAAAAAAGAAAAACATAGTAAGAAAGATAAATATCATGGAATCATTTTATAATTTTATTACTTACCTTGTTTTTTTTTTGGGCCTTTAAAAAATACAGTTAAGGATAACTTCATACTATTTTCAGAAGTAAAAAATATAGCTAAACAAGTAAAAAATATAACTAAACAACTTAATTCTTACTTATGTGAATTAAAAATGATGATGCCTAAAGACCTAGAGAAGCCAACTTAGTAATGCATGTAAAGCACCAGTTCTCTCTGTTCTATAGGGAAGAAGACATATGAAACATATCAAGTCAAGCCAAGAGACGGTAAAGCACGTAGGATGCTTGCCTTGCATACAATCAAGCTGGGTTTGATTCCTGGCATCCTATATGGCCCCCTGAGCCTGCCAGGAGCAAGTGTTCCTAAGTGCAGAACCAGCTACAGGGCCTGAGCACAGCTGGGTGTACGGCTTGCTCTTAAAGTCTGTGTTCTCCCTTGAACACGTCTCTCACTTGCTTACTGTTTCCACTCTGGAGAAGCATGTGTTCTCTCTCAAACATGTTCTTCTCTCTTTCTCTCCCCTCACATCTTTCTAAATAAGTTCCAATATAAACTATCTTGATTCTCACATGGGCTGGAGCGATAGCACAGCAGGTGTAGGGCGTTTGCCTTACATGTGGCCAATCCATGTTCGATTCCTCTGCCCTTCTCGGAGAGCCCGGCAAGCTACTGAGAGTGTCTCACCCACACGGCAAAGCCTGGCAAGCTACCTGTGACGTATCTAATATGCCAAAAACAGTAACAAGTTTCACAATTTGTTGTGAGATGCTACTGGTGCCCACTCCAGCAAACTGATGGACAACAGGAGGACAGTGCTACAGTGCTACACCTCATACACATACGTGAGAACATATTAAGTCAACAGCCTAAACAGATTCGTTCATTGCCTAAGAGAACAAATCTAACGTATCCAATAAATCATCAGACCAAACTCTGATATGATTCCAAGGTCTACTTTCTTACTCTAACATCAGCTTTTCCTTTCCACCAATCAAAAGCACAAGGCAAAGAACTCTTACGCTAAGGTCACTTTGTTCTATTCCACTACCTACTCTTTTTTTAATTTATTTTTTTGGCTTTTTGCGTCACACCCGGCAATGCACAGGGGTTACTCCTGGCTCATGCACTCAGAAATAACCCCTTGCAGTGCTTGGGGGACCATATGGGATGCTGGGAATCGAACCCGGGTCAGCAGCGTGCAAGGCAAACGCCCTACCCGCTGTGCTATCGCTCCAGCCCCTCCACTACCTACTCTTTTTTCAATGTTTACTACATGGGACTAGAGAGAAAGCTCAATGAGCTAGAGCAATGCTTTGCCTGCAGAAGGCTCGGCCGATTACCAGGACAGCATATGGGTCCTGGGCACTCCCAGGTATGGCTCAAAACAAACAAACAAAAAAACCCTCCACTGTGTATTATAAAAAACCTTCTGAAGAAAAACTCCACTTAGGATATGCAATATGAGTAAAGCACAGCAGTGAGTTATACTAAGATAGTGTATCTCCACTGAGAAGGAAAAGTCTAGTTAGAAGTGACTAGATATTGAAATACTTAGTAGCATTGTAGCACTGTCCTCCCATTGTTCATCAATTTGCCCGAGGGGCCCAGTAACTTCTCCATTGTGAGGTTTGTTGTTACTGTGTTTGGCATATCAAATACATCCCGGGTAGCTTGCCAGGCTTTGCCATGCGGGCGAAATACTCTTGGTAGCTTGCCGGGCTCTCCGAGAGGGGTGGAAGAATCAAACCCGGCTCGGCTGGGCTGGCGGCTTGCAAGGCAAACACCCTACCCGCTGTGCTATCTTAGTTTAATAAATATCAAAATATTACCAAAGCCTGAATATCGAGAAACATGAGAGACAGCAATATGCAAGAATAAAAACAGGAAAATTAAGCCAGCAATATTTGCTAAAGATATAAAAGGTCAAAGTACATTTAGAGGAGAAGAATGTTGGTAAACAAGGTTTAACATAAAACTGTAAAAAACCGTTATAAAGAAGTAAATGTGCAAGTAGACTATGGACTGAACATGTTTGCCACTCAATGCCTCTTTTGCAGACCACAACACCCAAAAGGAGAGAGAGAACACAGGGGATTGCCCTGCCACAGAGACGGGGGGATGGGGGGATGGGGGTGGGAGGGATATTATCCATGGTGGTGGAAAATGGGCACTGGTGGAGGGATGGGTATCTGATCATTGTATAATTGAAACCAAAGCACAAAAAATTGTAAATCTACAACTTTAAAAAAAAAAAAATAAAATAAAGGGGGAAAAAAAAAAAAAAAAAAAAAAAGAAGTAAATGTGCATAAAATTCAATGTAAACATCATGATTTCCAAAAAGTAAGAGAAAATGAACTTTTCTGGTACGTAGCATTTGACAGGTAGGAGCTTTTCAGATTAGCTAATTTAAGAAACTTGGATTCAGAGACATTAGGTCTACTGGCCAAGCTCACACAGCTCAGGGTTCACACGTCAACCTGACTGGATTTAAGGAGAATATACAATCTCGGGCTGAACACAGTACAGTGGGTGGAGTGTGAGCCATGCACACGGCTGACCCAGGTTTGATCCCCGGCATTCCATAAGGCCCTTCCAGGAGTGATCCCTGAGTGCAGAACCAGGAGTAAGTCCTGAGTATGGCCAGGGATGGCCCAAAGAAACAAAAAAACAGATACATAATCTCTTCAACCTATGTATCACAGTGATTTTCTTCAGTCATTCTCTTTTTTTCACTCATTTTTAAGGCTAACACATTGGTTGGCTATATTCCTCTCCTTGCTAAATAAAGCCTGACTCAACAATTGTACCAAGGTATTAACATTAATTTCTGGTCAATAGCAGATCACTTTTTAAAGAAATGAAAGGAGTAGAAAAGAGTTTATGTGTATATAAATATACACACACTATATATGTGTATATGTGTGTGTGTATGTTTATATGTATGTGTGCGTGTGTGTATGTGTTTGTGTGTATATATATGATGTGAGGGGAGAGAAGGAAAGGAGTATGTGTTTAAGAGAAAACAGCCTGAAAAAGTAAGCAAGCAAAGAGATACAGAAATGAGCAAGACACATTCAAGAGAGAACATGGGCTTGAAGAGCAAGCCGGAGTTTGTTTTGTTTTTGGCTTTTTGGGTCACCCAGCAATGCTCAGGGGTTACTCCTGGCTCTGCACTCAGGAATTACTCCTCTCGGACTTGGGGTGACCATATGGGCTACTAGGAATCGAACTTGGGCTGGCCATATCCAAGGCAAGCACCCTGCTCACTGTACTATTGCTCTGGCCCCCTAACTTTTTTTTCCCCTTTGTGGTGCAAGGGATTGAACTCCCGATTTTAAACACGTGAGGCATGCACTCCACCACTGAGTCATATCCTTAGTTTTGTTTTATTTTTGAAGTAAAATAGCTGTATTTAGATAAATGAAGGGAGAGTCAGGGAGGGAGAGAAAGAAAGAGAGAGTGAATATATATTGCCAGTTGCAGTATGGGAAGCAAAGAATGAGTCTTTGACTTTCTTATGGTATAACGTACAATTAAGCATATAATAACATACAATTAAGCAGGCAAATAGATGAATTTTTGCTTATATCTACTCCCATGTTATCACCATACACAAATCAAGGGGACAAAGATTAATTCAAATGAATGAATTAGGTGAAAGAACTCACCAAAAAGTTCTATATACAACCATTAAATTAACCCCCACTGTTTTCAAAGTTTTTTGAAAAGGTTCACAGTAATTCATAATCCTTAAAGGCCAGAGGATTTCTTACCAACAAATATTTCTCCTGTCCATACACATAAACAGTGTTGATTGCATAGTAGGATTTATGATCATCACGAATTTTCTTTTGCCTCTGAAAATACAAAAATTCTCAATATTTACTGTAAGAAATAAGTTATTAGTTTCCACACTACGCACACCCTATGTACATGCAATGATATTTTAAATAATGGGGCAATCTTCAGGCCAGGGAGGTAGTACTAGCTATGCATGCAACTGACCCAGCTATGCATGCAATGACCCATTTGAAGTCCAGCCTCTGAGCAGTGCAAGGAGTAACCCATTAGCTCAGAGCCTCTGAGTGGACAATTCTGGGGATGGACAATATACACTGGTCCCACCAAAAGAAATTTAAAAAAAAATCCCTTATACTATGTGTTGTTTATTAAGGGAATATTGATTTTATATATACATATATTTTAGTTAAGTTCTAGGAAAAAGAAAGCATTTGTTTCACATATAGTTGAAAGTAGTAGCTGAAAGGAAGAAAATGGTATTATTGAAAGTATTCCAGAGCCACCTGCTGGCAATTCTCAATATACTACAATTTAATATCAGACTCACCTAAAAATACATTAACTATGGACGATTCTCAAAAAATTAGAAATTGAGCTCCCATTTGACCCAGCAATACCACTCCTGGGAATATATCCCAGAGAGGCAAAAAAGTATAGTCGAAGTGACATCTGCACTTGTTCGTTCATTGCAGCATTGTTTACAATAGCTAGAATCTGGAAAAAACCTGAGTGCCCGAGAACAGATGACTGGTTAAAGAAACTTTGGTACATCTACACAATGGAGTGCTATGTAGCTGTTAGAAAGGATGAAGTCATGAAATTTACATACAAGTGGTCATGGTCATCACGGTCCTCCCGTTATTCATCGATTTGCTCGAGCGGGCCCAGTAACGTCTCCATCATGAGACTTGTTGTTACTGTGTTTGGCATATCGAATACATCACAGGTAGCTTGCCAGGCTCTGCCGTGCGGGCAAGATACTCTCGGTAGCTTGCCAGGCTCTCCAAGAGGGGTGGAGGAATCAAACTCGGGTCGGCCCGAGTTGTTGGCTGCGTGCAAGGCAAACGTCCTACCGCTGTTCTACATGGAAAGTATCATGCTAAGCAAAATGAGTCAGAAAGAGGGACAGACATAGAAAGATTGCATTCATCTGGGGAATATAAAGTAACAAAATAGGAGACTAACACCCAAGAATAGCCGAGATAAGTACCAGGAGATTTACTCCACGGCTTGGAGGCCAGCCACACACGCTAGGGGAAAAGGCAGCTCAGATAGAAAAGGGAGCACCGAATAAAGGGTGTTGGGAGGATCCTCCCAGGATGGGAGATGCATGCTGAAAGTAGACTATAGACCAAACATGATTGCCACTCAAAGCCTCTTTTGCAAACCACAGCACCCAAAAGGAGAGAGAGAACAAAAGGGAATGCCCTGCCACAGAGGCAGGGTGGGATGGGGAAACGGAGGGTGGGAGGGATACTGGGATCAGTGGTGGTGAAGAATGGGCACTGGTGGAGGGATGGGTACTCGATCATTGTATAACTGAAACCCACAGCACAAAAATCTATAAGTCTACAACTGTACCTCATGGTGTTTCACTAATAAAAATTAAAAAAATAAATAAATAAAAATACATTAACTACCTTACTTAAGGGAGCAGCAGAAGAATTAGCTATCAGAAAACATTTACATATCTGTAACTTTCAAATACCTGAACTACTAATCATGCATTCAATGCAGTATGTATGTCTACAGTTTTCAGGTCAAGTGTTTTCATATGTGTATTAATTTAATCTGCATTTAAACACATTTTTTAAAAAAGATAAAATGTGAAGCTTTTATCTATGATTTCTGCAAGAAATCATAGAGAGGGGCTGGAGCGATAGAACAGCGGGTAGTGCGTTTGCCTTGCATGTGGCCAACCCAGGTTCGATTCCCAGCATCCCATACGGTCCCCTGGGCAATGCCAGGAGTAATTCCTGAGTGCAGAGCCAGAAGTAACCTCTGGGCATCGCTGGGTCTGATCCAAAAAGCAGAAAAAAAAAAAAAAAGAAAGAGATCATAGAGAGGGCAGAGTGTCTGCCTTGCGCATGGTAAAACCTGGTTCAATCACTGGCACCCATAGATGGAACTTCTGAGCACCGCCAGGTGTGACCCCTGAATACAGAACCAGGAGTAAGCCCTGAGCACAGCCAAGAGTGGGCCAAAAACTAGAGGAAAAATAAAAAGAAGGATAAATGAGGGTAAGTGAGGTGGTTCAGAAAACTAGGGCACATGCTGCGCCAGTGGGATTCCTGGTCTCATTCCCACCACCTCATGTTCCCCAGAGCACCAAGCTGGGAATGGCCCAAGAGTAACAATGGGTATGGCACAAACCCACCCCACCCCAACCCCACCGCCAAAGATATGATAGCTGGGGCCAGAGAGACATTACAGCAGGCAAGGCACTTGTCTTGCATGCAACAACCTGGGTCCTGTCCCTGACACCTCATTTGGTCCACCAGGAGTGATTCCTGAGCACAAAAGCAGGAGTAAACCCTGAGGACAGCCGGGTGTGGGCAAAAACCAAATTATGACCATAAAGGTTTTACTTATTTATTATTTGTTGCACAAAGTTCTATGTTTTGAGGTCTCACCATTAAGTTTCTTCCAAGAAGAGCCTGAAGAACTCCACTTTTGCCACAGCCTTTCATCCCAATGACATTACATCTGAACACATTTCTTTGGGTTTGTTTTTTCTGAAGGTCTATCTTTTTATCTCTTGTCACTGCAAAAGGGGAAAAAACAGACATACTGAGCCTTGACTTCACTTTCAACTGAACAGAGGACTGCTGCTTATCACTTTATATATTTAATAAACATACTGTTTGCAGTCAAGCTGCATGAGAAATAGAATACTAAACACAATACAAACTGGCCTGTCTTAGTGGTAAAGATGCCTTTTTTCGTGTGTCATACCCAGTGATGCACAGGGGTTACTCCTGGCTCATGCACTCAGGAATCACTCCTGGCAGTGTAGGGGGAACAAAAGAGATGTTGACAATTGAACTCGGGTCAGCCACATGCAAGGCAAACGCCCTATCTGCTATGCTATCGCTCTGGCCCAAAGATACATTTTTTTAAAAGGTTGCCACAAAGTGAACTTCTAGTAGTCCATCATTTATTTCATCATAAAATAAATAAGTAGCATATTTTCATAATGAAAATGACTAAATTTGGGCCAGATATAGTACAGTGTACAGTGTACCCTGTACATGTCCAATCTGGATTTGATTCCTGGCACACCATATGGCTCCCCAAGTCCTGCAAGAAGTGATTCCTGAATGCAGAGCCAGGAGTAACCCTCGAACACTGTCAGGTATGGCCCCAAAGCCAAAAAGCAAAACAAAACAAATAAAAACAAAAACAGAGGTACCTAGAGATTCAATAACAACAAAGTTCACTGGAGCCCTAAAATAAGATAGCAAAAACAAAAAAAACAAACAAAAAACCCCTAAAAATAATAGGGGCCAGAGCGACAGTAAAGCAGGTAGGCCTTGAATGTGGCTGACCAGGGTTCAATCCCAGCATCCAATACAGTCCCTCAGCACTGCCAGGAGTAAATCCTGAGTGCAGAGCCAGGAGTAACCCCTGAGTATCGCTAGGTGTAACTCAAAAACAAACAGAAAAACAAAAACTAAAAATTATAAAAGAAAAAAACAAAAACACAATAACTATGGGACAGTTACAGGACATAGATATAGTGATACCTATTTAAGTGATACATTACTTAGCCTTAAAGATACATAAAAGTATTTACTGATACAGAGATTCACAATATTGAGTGAAAGAATTTCATGTGGGCAAGCGATGATGTCCTGCTCTTTGGTACTGAATTCAATATCGCCAAACTGGTTGAGTACTTTAAAGGCACTGGCTGATGACCAATTTACCCACCCCCCTGCCCGCCGCCCCTCTCCCCCCCATACAACACATACGCAAATGAGGCTGTTAGCCTTTAAAAACTTTTTAAAGTTTTTGGATCACACCTGGCTGGCAATGCTCAGTGGTTACTCATGGGTCTGCACTCAGGAATTACTCCTGGTGGTGCTCAGGGGACAATATGGGATGCCCAGGATCGAACCTGGGTTAGGTGTATGCAAAAGCAAGCATCCTACCTGCTCTACTATCTCTTTGGGCTCCAGGTTATTAAGACTCTTAAAATGATCAGTTATCAGTTCCCAATTTGTCACTTACATATCTACTTGTGTTCTTTTCTGTGGGAGAGGGGATCATATGCCGAAATACTCAGGGGTTAGTTTGGCTCTGCACTCAGGAATTAACTCCTGGTGATGTCTGGGGGACCATATGAGATGCCAGGGATTGAACCAGGGTTGGCTGCATGCAAGGCAAGCATCCTACCAGTTATACTATCTCTCCAGTCCCTATTGGTTTCCACTAAGGAATGCCCAATACTTGACAAGAATGCCTGGCCAACATTAGAAGATCTGTGAAAAATTTTTTAATGTGGAAATGGTTACAAAGTTGAGAGCTATACAATTAACTCAACATGTGCAAACAGGCAGTACTGGTTTTTGTTAACCTTTTGTTTTGGGGCCACACTAGTCAGTGCTTAGGATTACTACTGGCTCTGCAATCGGGGTCACTGCTCGCAGACTTGGGGGACCTTATGGGATGCCGGGGATCAAACCTGGGTCTGCCCTGCCCAAGGTAAACACCTGCCTGTGTACTATTGCTCCAGCCCCACAGGCAGTATTTTTCAGGTTAGGAAATACTCTTACTACCCACAGCCCTTTCCAATTTTTATCAGTGGGTAATTTGAGAGATAAAAAAGAAGTAACCTGGGGCTGGATAGATAGAACAGCAGGTAAAGTACTTGCCTTGCATGCTGTTGACCCAGGTTTGATTCCCTGCATCCCACATGGTCCCCCAAGCCTGCAAAGGAGTGATTCCTGAGCACAGAGCCAGGAGTAAAACTGAGCACTGCCAGGTATGGCAAAAATTGAACAAATAAATAAAAGCTTGATTGTTATTCCGGGGAGCTGAGGGTCCTTCCGAGCAGTGTTCAGGAGGCCCAGAGGTCCCACTGGCAGTTCACAGCCACTGGGTCAGGCAGTTTAGTCAAGGTCCAGAGCATGGACTCCTGCAGCAGTGCCCAGGAAACCAGGGCTGCCCCAGGGAAGCCTCCAGCACTACACCTGGTGATGCCTCTGGGGCAATGTGATGTCGAGTCAGATGCTTACTAGGCTTGTGTCCTAACTGCTGCACTATTTCCGAGACCTCTATCTAATAAAATCAAATATCTTGAGGCCGGAGAGATAGTACTCTGGGTAGGGTGCTTGCCTGTGAATGGCCTACCTGGGCTTGATCCCTGGTACCCCATATAATCCCCTGAGCTTGCCAGGAGTAATCTTTGAGCACAGAGTCAGGAGTAAGCCCTGAGAACCACCAGGTGTGACCCAAAACCCCCCACAGTAAAAATAAAAACAAAGGGTGCCTGAGCCATAGCACAGCAGGTAGGGTGTTTGCCTTGCACACGGTCGACCCGTGTTGATCCCCAGCATCTCATGTGGTAGTCCGAGGATTGCCAGGAGAAATTCCTGAGTGCAGAGCCAGGAGTAACCCATGAGCATTGCCGGGTATGACCCAAAAAGCCATAAATAAATTTAATTAAAAACAAATAAAATTAAAAAAAAAAGAAAAGCAAGCAGTTAACTAAAAAGAAACTGCCAAGTCTTAGGAGAATTGAGTTTAAACATGGAAGCCCAATGAAGATGAGCTAAACTTAAAAAGAGTTTCTAACACAGAGCTGAATATGATTCGGATGTTACCTGTAATGGCTGAAGCTTGAGACTCCTGCTCGGTCAATATTGAGTAACCGAGATAGCCCAAATACTCCAGGCACCGCTGCACATCTAAATAGGTGGTGAGCCTAGGAAAGTACAGAGTGCACATTGGAAAGAAGTTCCTTAGGAAACATTTCTAGAAGAAAATTTCAACAGTTCACAGAACTACACAACCAAACTCCATGGAGTTTCTGTCAGATTGCTTTAATTTCACCAGGTGTTCATCACGGCTCTTTCTATCTGGGGCCGTGCAAGGCGAGCTCCTTAATTGCTGCACTATCCCTCGAGTCCTATCCTGTCACTCCCTGTTTGTCGGGGGATGGGGGTGGGATGGGGAGGTTGGGTCACATGGCGGTAGTGCTCAGGGGACCTTACATGGCTCAAACGAAGGTCATGAACACCACAGCCACACGGAAGGCAGGGGGTCTTATCTCCTCTACTCCTCTACTCTCTCCTGAGTTCTGGAACACTATTCTAATGGCAAGAACAAGAATGGAGAATGTATGGGGGGGGTGGTGGAAATAGGGCTCCCAATCCTACTCGTCCTGCCTAAAGAGGACAAAACACACAGAGGAACAGTTAAAAGCAGGCTTTTTTTTTAAAAAACATAATAAGAAAACCATGTACGTTGGCTCCTCTTTCCAGCCCTAAATTTGTCTGTCTTTTCTGGGGGGCAGGAGGGGAGAGTCCTCTGGGCCACACTCGGCAGTGCTCAGGAGTGAGCTTGGCAGTGCTCAGGAGTGAGCTTGGCAGTGCTCAGTGGATCCATGTGTGGTGGCAAGCAAAAAAAAGAGCTTTACCCTCTGTACTAGCTCCTCAGCACCTAAGTTATGATCTGAAAACTGAACTGATAGTAGTGCTGAGAAAGCTAATCTCAAGTAACTCCTTTTTTTTTTAAGGGAGGGTGGGGGGCACACCTAGTGATGCTCAGAGACTACTCCTGGCTCAGCACCGAGGAATTAGTCTTGGCAGTGCTCAGGGGACGATATGAGATGCAAAGGGATGAACTCAGGTGAGCTGTGTGAGGGCAAGTGCCCTACCTGCTATACTATGGCTCAGGCCCCAATCATCCTCTTATCACATATAACCATAGGATTTTCGTAGCACCACCAATATACTGTCAATTACGCTGTAACAAGGCTGTGGACAAACCTTTGCTAAGTCTAATGGAGCACTGAAACAATGAAAACGCAAATGCAAATTAAGTCTGTAGAGTCAAGAAAAAAACATATTCTGCCTATATATTGCAATCATAAGAATTACACAACTGTAGTGAAATTTCTAATTCCCTTCATCAAAAGAAGTATTAGAATTTAGTTCAGTTTGGGGCTGGAAAGACAATACAGTGGGTAAGGCTTTACAAATCTGAAACCCAGCACCACCTACAGGCCCCCAAACACTGCCAGGTGTTATTTGAGCATAGAACCAGGAGTAAGCCCTGAGTACAGCAGGGTGTGGCACTACCCCTACCACCAGGGGGAAACAAAAGGAATTGATTCTTGACTTTATGTTGTTCTCCCATATATAATCCAAAGCAAATAGTGCTTAATAAATTTATGAATACCTGAGTTCATCTTAAGAGCGGCCAGACAACTAGTACAGTGGGCAAGGCACTTGCTGCCTTGCCCACAGCCAACTCGGGTTTGATCCCCGGCATCCCACATGGTCCCCTGAGCATCACCAGGAGTAATTCCTGAGTGCAGAGCCAGGAACAGTCCCTGAGCATCACCAGGTGTGGCCCCCCAAAAATAAATAAATAAAAAGTTCATCTTAGAGATGGGTTGGAGCGACAGCACAGTGGGTAGGGCGTTTGCCTTGCACGTGGCTGACCTGGCCAACCCAGGTTCGATTCCTCCGCCCCTCGCAAAGAGCCCAGCAAGCTACCAAGAGTATCTCACTCGCACGGCAAAGCCTGGCAAGCTAACCGTGACGTATTTGATATGCCAAACACAGTAACAGTTGTCACAATGGAGACGTTATTGGGCCTGCTCGAGCAAATCGATGAACAATGGGAGGACAGTGACAGCGATCTTAGAGATAGCATTATTTTAATTCCTGCTTACAGAGAGTTATGACTGAAACATTTCATAAACTCTGCCATGCTTACAAAGTAATGAATGCAAGATGTGCCATCATTCTAAGCCGGCCATAGCTCTAAAGGAAAAAGGTGAACTCCGTACTCACGTCCACTGGGAAAGGAATCCCTGGTAGGTTATCCAGCCTTTTTCATTTGTACAAACTGTATTATTCACATCTGGCCCCCAAGGTATGTAAGGGAAAACTTTAAATAAATCTTTGAGCTCATCAGGGGACAGAGCACAGTCTCTATCCTGCAAGTACACAAGGGAGTTGACAAGAAATTAGACATCTGAAAGAAAGATTCCCAAACCCAACCTACCTAGTCAAGTAAATCTATGCTTCTGAAATCGAAGAAATTTCACATTTCATGACCAAAGTTCCTTCAAACATGAGAAATTCTATGCAAGAGCTTAAGAGAAACTAGGACTTTTTTTTAAAGAAAACACCAAAAAAAAAATTATTGCTAGTCTTTTTAAAAAGAATTTGAGCAGTTTTTGACTATATATAACATAAGCAGCCCAAAGTGAAGGGAATCGAGTTAAATCACTCACAGAAAAACATTTCACCATTTGTCATGGAAACTGCATCTAAAAGCTTACCAAATCATGCTTGTCAAAGGTACTTTGGAGAAACAAATATGCATGATGATTTAATTCAGTAGTGCAATCAGGAGGTATTTTTAGCCTGTTGATTAAAAATTTTGAGAATAATAAATCATTAATCAAATATTAAACTTTAAGATAGGAATATAAAACTACAATGAAGTCTTTTTGTGGGACAGTATTACTTGCAAAATAACTTTTTCTGGAGTCATTTAGACTTTTCCCAGGAAATCACCAGATGATAAGGCTCTCCTTCGAAGAGTTGTCATAATGCTTATTCCAAAGTGACAGAGACGCTCTGTATCTAACGAATCACTAACAAGCAGGAGACAGCACACAAATAAATAACCTCGCTAAGGCAACAAAACAGGACAAATGCTCAGTGTGGGTGAGCTGAGGGTAGTGGGGAGTCAAGAGGGAACGTCGCTAGCCTGGGCTGAGAAGGTGCCGGGACTGCTGGAGACACAGTTGCCAGGACTGAGATTTGATTAATAAAGCATCAATTAGAAAGGGAGAAACAGGGCTGAGGTGATAGTACGGTGGGGAGGGCATTTGCCTTGCACACGACAGACCTGGGTCTGATTCCCAACACCCATATAGTCCCCTGAGCACCGCCAGGAGGAATTACTGAGTGCAGAGCTAGGAGTAAGCCTGGTGTGACTCCTCTCCTCCTCCTCCAACAACAACAACAACAACAACAAAAATACCACAAAAAAAAAGGGAATGCCCTGCTACAGAGGTAGGGTGGGATGGGGGAATGGGGGGTGGGAGGGATACTGGGATCAGAGGTGGTGGAGAACAGGCACTGGTGGAGGGATGGGTATTCGATCATTGTATAACTGAAACCCAAGCACAAAAATTTGTAAGTCTACAACTGTACCTCATGGTGTTTCACTAATAAAAATTTAAGGAAAAAAAATATACCACAAAAAACAAACCTCAGTAAAGAGACGGAATGATAAAAAGAAAAATACTAATAAGTATATGAGTTTTTGCTCCAAATTTATCAGGCATTTTGTCTCTTCTTCCTCAGCAAAAAGAAATTTGAAAATGTCCTTATACTCCCCACAAGGAAACATGGAAAAGTCTGAGTCATGTTATAAATCAACTGGGGATGATTTTGCTTCAACATTTGGCGTTTTCTCGAGACATCTTCAGTTATCACAACTGGGGGAGGAGGTGTTGCTGCCTCTAATGATGTGCTGAACATCCTAATGCACAGGACAGACTCCACAGCAATCATCCAGCCAACAGGGCTGAAGACCAGACACACTTCTGCAAACCCCTGTACACATCTATACACCAGACTGAGTAACTCAAAGACTACCTACCTAACCTATGTGCCAAATAAAAATGAATAGTACCTGACAAGTAAAATCAATCAGAAATTCAAATGTACATACAAGGGGAATAAATATTCAGGTGTCAAGTCCAGATCATCATCATAACCAAATCGTCGGAGCACAGTCCACGTGGTTTCATGTCTCCCTCTCTGGATAAAAAGTGTGTGTAAAAAAAGAAAACCTGAAATAAAATAAATAGTAAATATAACTACTGTTAAAAAGTACATGTAGAAAACAAATTATTTCACAATGCCTTTTCAGCAATTCTGATTGTTGGGTGTAAACTCTAAACAATAATGGTGCATCTTTTGTCGAAATAATGAATGTATTCAAAGCAGACAGAGAGTTAAGTGGAAATCATCTGCCTCACAGGCATTGGGAGGGGTGGGAGTGGGGTATATTGGGGTTCTTGTTGGTGAAGAATGAGTACTGGTGAAGGGAAAGGTGTTTGATCATTGCATGATGGAGACTTAAACCTGAAAGCTTTGTAACTTTTCCCACAGTGATTCAATACATTAAGAAAGAAAAAAGTACAATGTCTCTTTTGCCTAACATACCTAGAAATGTATAACATACAAGGACAGAAGTTTCATTCAGGAATGGATCTATACTAATTGCAATTTGAAAATTCAAAAGGAAACAAAATTTACTAGTGTCTCAACAAAACAGTCAACACCTATATGCAAGGTCAGCAAGACTAGTGGGATGAAAGGGCTAAAGACATCCCAATGATTACACTGACATTCACAAAGTTATAAAAAACAAAAGAAGGGGCTGGAGTGATAATATAGCAGGTAGGGCATTAGCCTTGCACATGGTGGATTCCCAGCATCCCATATAGTGGTCCTCCGAGTAATTCCTGAGTGCAAAGCCAGGAGTAATTCCTATGCATCGCTGGGTGTGACCCCCCCCCAAAAAAAGCAAAAGAAGTCTTCTGCACTTCTATTAGAAAATCCTGGTTCTCAATATCATTTCTTATATCACTATGGCTCTATAATCTATTCCACAGGGAACGTTTTGAACTTGCTAAAACCTGATGGGTTGATAAAATATCTTCCCTAAAAATAATTTCTATTTAAAGGATGCTTATGAAGGGAAAGCCTTTAAAGATAAATTTGTTTAAGGAATCTCTTTTCCTCAGATGAACTTCTATGTACGATCAATTGACCAATTTCTAATTCATGCTGAAAGTAAGGATAATAATTCTCACCAAAGACCTGTTTCTTTCAGTTCTTAATTCTTCAAATTAGATTTCTGGCATATTTGTATACATTAACATTTCCCTGAAGTACAAATAATGAAACAAGGCCCGTTACCTCCTGCAAAATCTGAAAACGTAATGTTCAAAAGGGAGGAAGCCCCCTTTGCCCACCTTTCAGTGTCAACCCGCTGTCAGCCACGCCATCGCTTATATGTTTTCGAACTACATTCTTGACATCTTCCAGACCTTGAGGAGCTAATGGAGTGTTGAAACAAATTCTCTAACAAAAGAAAATAGATAGACAAACAAAACATATTTTAAAAGCAGCACTAAACCCACAAATAAAACATTTATCTAAAAAGCACTATTAGGGGTCAGAGCAATAATAGAATAGGTAGGGCGCCTGCCTTGTACAAGACCAATATGGGTTCAATCCCTGGCATCCTATATGGTATCCCAGAGCACTGCCAGGAGTGATAGATCTGAGTGCAGAGGCAGGAGTAACCCCTGAATATTGCCAGGAATGCAACCCCCCTCCAAAAAAAAAAAAAAAAACAAAGTAAAATTTAAAAAAATTTAAAAGCAGTTATTAAAGCATTAAAAAAAATTTTTTAAAGTTAGGATATTCTATTCTCCTACCGCTGTGTTAAAGTAAAACATGCTATACTTAGAAATAAACTTTTCCCACCTCCCCCACAATTTTTCTAAAACAGAGCTCTTTGTATAGCTATGGTAAACAAAATAAGAAAGGACAATAACTCAGAGTTCAGACTAAGCTTTCCTTAATATCTTAATAGACCCCAGTGTAGTAGACAAGAAATAACATCAAAGAATTCTCTCATTTCCTATGCATAAGTTTTATACCCTAAGTAAAGACTGAAAAGACTGATGTAAAAGATAGTTTGACATGAAAAAAGACACACATTTACCAACTTACTACCTAAATGAATACATTTGTACAGCTTTTCTCACACACAAAAAGGCCAAGACAGCAGAAGTCTGAAATAAAAGTCGGCTACCTGGAAAAAGTTGAGTTCAGCATCATTGAGAGTACCATCATTATCCTGATCCGATATTTTAAATATACGAGTAAGGGCTTTTATACAAGCTGGCTTCATCTACAGAACATTAAGAAAAACAATGGTTTTAATGAACACTTTCATAGCATTCAGAATAATTGTTTTCACGATCAGATACGCAACGCAAATACAATCAACGTTAAAAAAACAAGCCACAAGTTATTTCCTTGTATACGTAAGCCTTCGGGATGGTGGGAGATGGAAGTTGGGCCAAACCTCACAGTGATCAAGGGTGACCCTTGGAGATGCTTGGGGGACCATAAGTGGTGTGGTGCCAGGAATCAAATCAGGGTTGTAGCTGAAGCATCTGTATGCCAAGCAAAAGCCCTACCTCCTGAACTATTTCTCCGGCCTCTGTAAAAAAGGTTGATTTTTTTGATTTTGGCTTTTAGTTATCAAATTCAGATGGCAAATGAGTCACCTGAACTTTATTATTCCACAAGCACAACTAGTACAGATGGTGAGGTGAGCAGAGGACTCCGGACAACAGATGGTCATGACCACACTTTAGATTGGCCCTTGTTTTCATTTTGTATTATCACTATAGTTTAGGTAACCCGGTCATAATAGTGCTAAGGTTTATGGCCTGGATGTACAACCTTTCTGCACCTCACTACCCTTCTGTTACTCGAGTCTGTCTTCACCTCATCTCCGAAGACTTTAGATTGTAGCATAATTTTTTTTTCTGAATTCAACTCAAATATGTACAGAAAGCGTATCTAGTTTTCCAGAAGATTCTGCTACAGGCTTACCCCGAAAGCATGAACTTTTGTAATGCAAGGTATAGTATCTAAAAATTCAAGATTTTTTTTTTTTTTACCCCTGGCAGGTTCATTTAAGGAACAAATGACAGGTGGTGGCGGATGTTTTCATCTTACAGGATTAGAGACCAGAGGTGGGTGGGGAGTGATTACCAGATCAGCAGAACTAATAATAGGCCTAAGAAAAAAGAATTAACTGTAAACTAACAGAGGATTTGGTGTTCACCAGGCTGGAACTCAGAGCTAGAGACTGTTATCCAAATTCTCTTGATAAGATACAACCCCTGGCTGAATCAAAATGGAGCCGTGCTTTGAACAAATACTCTTAGTAACTACTGTGAGGCAAACGAGGACATACTGAATGAACAGCAAGTTGGAAAGCAGCAATTCAATTAAAGAATGGTAAGCCAGGATTAAGGAAGAACAAGAAAGGGTCACATAAAGAGACAACTCAGACTGATTATTCACACTCGGCACTACTAGTAAGGGTCATGCAGCAAATATACTGGGCTCTGAGGGCCAAGTGACAAAATGAGGGGTATCATGTAGATATTTATAGAGCAACTGAGAACCAAATTTCCAAAAAGTTTTAACTAATGAATTTAAAAACATAATTCTGTACGAATTTTCTACACAGGTCCACTAAGGAGAATATAATTTTTGGAAGGAGAATATAATTTTTGGAAGAAGAATATTTTGCTTAATAAGTATTTAATGGGGGCCGGAGTGATAGCACAGCAGGCAGGGCGTTTGTCTTGCACACGACCGACCAGGTTCAATCCCCAGCATCCCTGATGGTCCCCCAAGAACAGCCAGGAGTAATTTCAGAGTGCAGAGCCAAGAGGCTCGCTGAGGATCACTGGTTGTGACCCAAAAAAACAAAAATAAATAAAATAGGGGTTCAAAGTATTCTTAAAGAAGGTAAAATCAGGGTTCTTTATTGTGAAAATTACTGCAAATATTTATCTAAAATGAGATTTTACGTATTTTATATTTCATGCTTGAAAAAGTCATTTGGCATATATACATATATGTTATATATACACTGTCAATACTGATAAATCATATACATATGATTTTAATTGAGCACATTCAGTTCTTAGAAAATACTTAAAATCTCTTTTTGATATTTGGACTCAGTATATCATTGCACTGAAAATTATTAACTTCCAATTGAACTGTAGGTGGAAATTCCTGAACAGCAGTCAAATTCATTATAGAATACGGAACTGTGCTTTTCACCTGCAGTGAGGTATAAAAATCTGATACTAGAACTATAGTATGAGCTGAGAAAATCTACCTGCTTTGCCAACTAAAACTATGAAAATGCGCTTTTGGGTTACAGATAGTACAGCGAGTAGGTGCTTGCTTTGCAGGTGGCTGACTCAGATTTGATGCCTGGTACCATATAAAGTTCTCTGAGCACAGGTAGAAATGATCCCTGAGCACAGAGTCTAAAGTAAGCCCTAAGCACATTCAGATATATAGCCCCCTCATCATTTCCCCCCCCTCAAAAAAATCTAATTTTGGGCCAGGGATATGGCCCAGTGGCACAGTGTTTGCCTTGCATGTGTGAGGCCCTAGCTTTGATTCTAACAGTGCAAAGCAAACAAAAAAAATTATATAAAAATCTGCTTCTTTTCCTGTTTGGTTGTGTACTTGTAATAAAAAAGGTAGCTGGAGCGATATAGTACAGTGGGTACCCATGCAGGCTGCTGATCTGGATTCAATCCCTGAATTCCATATGGTCCCCCAATCACCACTAGGAGGAACTTCTGAGTGCAGGAGTAAGCCCTGAGCATTGCCAGGTATAGTCCCAAAACAAAAAAATTAGGGGCAGGAGATATAGCACAGCAGGTAGGGTGCTTGCCTTGCATGCAGAGGACCTGGGTTCGATCCCTGGCAAATGGTCCCCCAAGCACCATGAGGAGTGATCGATCTCTCAGCAGAGCCAGGAGTAATCACAGAGCATCACTGGTTATGGACCCAAAAAACAGAACAGAACAAAACAAAAAAAATCCCAAAACCAAAACCAGGGGCCAGGTAATATGGCAGTTTAAGGCCCTGCATATGGCCAACCCCGAGTTGATCCCTGCACCCCATGTGGTCCCCCCGAACACTGCCAGGAGTAAGGATTAATACCTAGGCATTGCCGGGTGTGTCCCAAAATTAAAAGAAAAACAAAATTAAAATATCCTATTACATGATAAACATGATATCTGAGATGCTGTCAATGAGTTTGAGTAACTGTATTAGGGGTCAGACCTAGAACAAAGGAGTTGTGCAGGTGCAAAGCACATGGGAGGCCTGGATCCACCTCCAGCACTGCCGGGGAGTGAACACCTGAGCACTGTCAGATGAGGTGCCCAAACAAAAAACAAAATACAAGTAAAACAAACATTCATGCAAGTCGCAGTGTACAGCAGTAAAAAAAGACAGGTGCCACAGGAGAGCACTTTGCCTCCGGAGCACAAAAGCAATCCTGTACAAACACAGAGGAAGAGACCTGGGAGCCAAGAGGCAGATCAATGACAGATGCAGGGTTTGCGTGCCGGAGGACCAGGTCTGATCCCCAGCACTGCCTGAGCCCTAACAGGATTAACCCTGGAGAACAGAGCCAGGAACAGACCGAGCACTGGGTGTCCATGGCCCAAACAACAGCAACAAAGAATTCTTCAGTGTTAGTAAATTCTCATACAAATGACCATCATACTAAAATTAGTGACACATCCCAGTCCCCACTGACATAGCCCCAAAGGGCGTGGGGTGAGGGTGAGTGCCTACCTCCTTCTCCTCCGGGCAGTACAGGGGCACTGTAGGATGAAGCACAGCTTTCTGTGCATAATAAAATAGCTCTGATATGTTCTTCAGGTTTTTTGCGGAGCACTGAAAAAAAAAAAAGTCAAAAGCTTTATACCATGATATATGAGAGTTAAAAATTATTCAAATAGCAACATACAGTATTAAAAACATCATTTGAAGAAACTAAAAAGTGCATTTTTCTTTGTGGCTCTCACAATACTTATGTTTCGAGAGCTTAGAGATCAACTCCAAGTTCTGTTCTACTTAGTTTACATGACTTCCCCAACGGAAGGACACATACGCAATCCCACACCTTCCCACCTATTCTAAACAGTCACTTACTGAGAGTTCAACAACATTAAGTACAGAGTCAGATGACAGAACAGGCGTACCTCCACACAGGTTTCTATCTCTGTGTACTGGTTCATAATGGGAAGGATGGTCTCCATACTACTATATTCCACCAGATCAGATTTGTTCCCAACCAATATCAAAGGCAGCCTGAAGTGAGTAGGGAACATTGAGTAACAAGGAAGGCAAAAGATGTTATTAGATTTACATTTAATGTAAATCACAGCCCATTCGAACTCACAAACTTTATTTAATCTTCCCGACCCAGACCCTCTATCTAGTCAGCACAAGCCTCCTAGAGAGCACATTCATGTTCAACAACAGTCACTGAGTATTGCTGTAAACCGATACTGTTCTAGGAATTAAGAACGTAACACTGATAAAGTCTCTGCCCATTCAGATATTAAGAATCAGGGGTCTGGGGCTGGAGCAATAACAGCAGATAGGGCATTTGCTTGCATGCGGGCGATCTGGATTAGATTCCCAGCATCCCTTATGGTCCCAAGCACTGCCAGGAGTCATTCCTGAGTGTAGAGCCAGGAGTAATCCCTGTACACTGCCGAATGTGAGCCCCCCCCCCCAAAAAAGAGTCCTGGGGCCAGATAGTACAACGGGTAGGGTGTTTGCCTTGCACATGACCAACTCAGGTTCAATCTCTGGCAGCCCATATGGACCCTAAGCCCAACTTATACTGATCCCTGAGCACAGAGCCAGGAGTTCCCAGAGCATAGCCAGATGTGCACCCTCCCTCCACCCTGCCCAGTATTGGGGCAAAAGAAAGAAAACATCAGGGGCTGGAGAGATAGTACAGAGGGGTAAGATGCTTGCCTTGCCATGGCCAAGCCCACCAGGAAGTGATCCCTGAGCACCATCTTGTGTGGCCCAAAAAAATCAAACAAAACACAAAAGCCCCAAAACATTAAAAATCGAAGTATAATAATCAAATTTAAAAGGTATTCCCAGGCCAGAGACATAGTATAAGGTTAAGATACATGCCTTGCATGCAGCTGAACCCAGTTTGAAGTCCTGGCACCACATGGTCCCGAGCATTCCTGGGTGCAGGCCGGGAAACCCCGAGCACCACTGCAGTGGCCCGGGCACTGCAGGCCAGAGCAGAACTACACTCTTGGGTGCTGGCATTAAACCAGACAACCCCAAAGGCAAAAACTCACCAGGAGGGCACCCACCCCCAAAGGGGGAAAATTTCCTACCACACACGTGCTATGAAGGAAATAAACAAGGTATGAGATATGGGAGGGGCTAATGAAATACTCAGTCAAGGGAAAATCTCTGACAATGGGGACCCTCTATGTGAAGAGTAAGGAAGAGTTAGATGGGAAAGAAGGAGGGAAAGAATGTACAAAAGTCCCAGGCAGAAAAAAAGTCTCCATAAATCCAAAGAATAGAAAAATGTCTGAGCTGCTAGAGAGTACTGAGCAGAGAGGGGGAGTTTGAAAATCAAGAGAGGAACACAGGTCAGACACGTAACAACTCAGAGCTGAGGTACAAAACATCTGCTCTAAGTGTAAAGTGGGAAGCCATTCCGAGTTATAACTTGGGGGAAGACACAATTTAGTGACCTTTGGGGATGGGAGGTTTGGAGCCACACCCAGCAATGCTTAGGACTTATGACTTGGAGGACCACACGGGGTGCCAAGATCAAACCCCAGCTGGACTCATGTAAAGCAAGCACCCTCTCCCTGTGCTAGCTACCCAACCCCTGATGACATGTTTTTGAGCCACTCTTGGTGGTACTTAGGGGACCCTGTGGTGCTGGAAATGGAACCCAGTAACTCCCAAAAGCAACGCAAGCGCTCCACCCCTTTGATCAATCTCCTTCACCTCTAAATAACATTTGAAAATACAGTCACTCGTTATCTTTTAGAGATACAGAAATATTTACAGTATGACATAAATTTCTCAAAGTTATTTGGGGGGCGGTGTCGCGCTGAGGACCAAACCCAGGTCAAGTGCCTTATCTGCTGTACTACCTCCCTGCCCTTCAAAATTACCTTAGTGGAAGTTTTAAGAAATCAAACTGGCTATGAGTTGACACTTCATGTTTGAAATTGTGAATCAATACAGTATCAAAGCTCTATTTTCGGCTTTGCTCCCCAACATATAAGCAGTCTTAAATCATTCCTCCCCCAAAAAGATGTGTATGTATAAACTAAGATGGACCTACCTTTAAAGCAAATGTGGCAAAATGTTCATTGGTGGATCTAAGTGAATGAAGGGTTTACAGATTTTCAATAAACATTTCCAAGTACTAAAGGTACAAAGTCTGGGAGAAAAAAGAATACCTGCTGTCTTTGTCTGTCCTTTCATTTATGAGAGGAATCCATCGACTTGTTACCTAAAATCATAGTTAATAAGAATTAAACTGTGATAAAGATCTTTAAAAATTACTATCCATGGACTCATAGAATTCTAAACTGAGGGTCAATCATTAAAGTGTGCCCATTGAAATGTTACTAAATATAATGAGAAAAGTTACAAATTCATACCTTATCAATCGAATGTTTGTTATTAACAGCATAAACTATGCAGATGACATTTGCCTGTAAGAAAAATGAGCTAATTAATATTTTTAAATAATAAGATGTAAACAGAAGCAGTTGTAACATATTTGGTCAGAGGAAAAATATATGAAGTTAGGAACCACACAATTGATCTTATTTGTGTGCGGATGGGGTGGGGAGGGGGAGGTGGTGCGGCCAGAATTCAAACCCAGGCCTCAGGCACGCAACATGCAAGGCCTGTGTTCTGTTCTGCTGCTGAGCCACATCCCCAGTCAAGCTCTTCTTTATCAGTGCTGGGCACTGAACCCAAGGTCTAACGCACGTAAGGCGAGCACTCAGTTATTGAGCCATACGCTGGAATGGTTACAGTAAGAGAACACAAAAAGGCAGAGTCTGACTCACCAATGTTTTTGCACCAAAACCAAAAAACGACTTTCTAAAAAACTCACCTGTGATATTTCTTGATGAAGCTGCTCATCACTTTGTTCTGCTTCTACAAATGACAAAGTCAAAAAAAAAGTTTATTCAAAATAGTTCATCAAAATGGCCAAGCAAAATTCCACGTGACGCCCCTGAAAATATCCCTAAAAACATCCCTCACTCCTCATGTCCTGTCCCCAGTACACTGCCACATCAGGAGACAGAGACCAGAGCACAGAGAAAGCAAGTGTGCGACAACAGGAAGGGAGCCAGCCCCACGCTGAGACATGTCTACATGAGAAGAACCAAGGCCTGGAGAGCAGACAGCATCTTGTAATAGATCTAAGTTGGCATCTATTCTAGAGTTTTAAAAGGGTCAGAGAAAAGGGACAAAACAAACTCCTTAGTTAGAAGATCGGGTGTTGAAAAGTCAGAAGCCTGGACAAAGAGGCTATACACACATGTAAGATCAGGTTCAGAATCTGGGTAAGCTTATGATCTAGAGCGGAGAAACAGAAACTTGGGCCCAGAAGCAGAACGAGAACATGATAAGGAGCCAAAAGTCCCTTTTCACACAGGCGATGGGATTGGTGTAGAAACATTTAATGCCTAAAAGAAAAAAAAATTCCTTTCCAGGGACCAGAGAGCTAGTACAGCGGGTAAGGGGCTTGCCTTGTATGCAGCGGATCTCAGTTTGCAGAAAACTGCATCCTATATAATTCCCTAAAACCTGCCAGGAGAGATCCCTGAAGTAAGCCGTGAGCACCACTGAGCTTATCTAAGATAAGCATCTCCAGACCTGCAGTGATTCCTGACCAATTGGGTCAGTGGTTTAATGCAGGGTACAAGGATGCAGTGCTGCTCAGGCCCTGAGATTATCTAGGCATCACTGGCAGTATTTGGGGTGGGGGTGGAAGCAGGGTGAGACAGGGGTGGGGTGGGATGTGGTGGCCCTCAGGCATATACATACACTCTAATGTTTGGGGAATCATCTGTAGTTCCAGGGAATGAGCCAGGGCTGGCTGAAATGGTCACATGCAAGGTAAGTGCCTCATCTTCAGTATTATATCTATGACCCAACTTGCATTTAGTATTCCTTCCTCCTTTTCATTATGGAACACAACTGAGTAAAGTAGGAACAGAGAACTCTCTAAGATGGATTTTTTTTTTTTTTTTGCTTTTTGGGTCACACCCAAGAATGCACAGGGGTTACTCCTGGCTCATGCACTCAGGAATTACTCCTGGCAGTGCTCGGGGGACCCTATGGGATGCTGGGAATCGAACCTGGGTCAGCCGCGTGCAAGGCAAACTCCCTACCTGCTGTGCTATCCCTCCAAGCCCCTAATATGGAAATTTTAGAGGAGTATTCAAAAGGAGTTGGCAGAAAAATATACAGCAGTTAAGAGGGGCACTGATGCAGAGTCAGGGATTCAATCTGGGATCTTAGGTGGAGTTGGAGACTGAACCTGAGTCACCTGCATGCAAACAAGCATTTACCTCCTGTCCTATCTCTCTGGACCCCTGAACACTTTTTAAAGCTCACTAAGTTCTTTTGTGGCAAATTAAATGAACCCTAAGCTGCCCAGAGAAGAGGACATTCGTTACCAGAGTAATCGACGATGTGAGTTGGAACTCTCTCAGGGGTGACATCAGCTGGAATGGTGATTTCTTCCGCTCGGGGAGGAACCTTTTGTCGCAAACAAAGAGAAAAGAAAAAAACTAAGTTAACATCTATCAAACTTAACAGGTCATAAAATTGATCTATGTGAGTCCTTTCACCCTTACCTATTCTTACTGGTATTATACCTCTAAAAGCTGATTTTTGTGCCTTCCCAGATATTTATTACAACTATATGATAAAACACCTTTAAAACTGTGCATTTTCATCTGCGTGGGCATAGGATATATTAAAGAAACTTCAATCATGACTCAACCTAAAACAAAATTTCATTTAGTGTTTCAAACAGAAGATTTTGAAAAATTGCTGTATTCCTTAGCAGGAGAGATGGAACAGCAGGTGCTTGTCCACAGCCGATCCAGTTTGATCCCTGGCAACTTACATGGTCCCCAAGGCCGGCCAGGAGTGATCCTTGAGTGCAGAGACAGGGGTAAACTTTTACCACCACTGAGTATAGTCCAACACCCAGAAAACAAAAGGAAATTTGCTCTTCCCACTCTATTTTGTTGAAGGCTTAAGGTACTCGACAAATGAGTTACTTCATTCTAAAGCAATCCTCAGGGCCGGAGCGATAGCACAGCGGGTAGGGTGTTTGCCTTGCACGCAGCCGACCCAGGTTCGATCCCCAGCATCCCAAATGGCCACCAGCACCACCAGGAGCAATTCCTGAGTGAAGAGCCAGGAGTAAGCCCTGTGTATCGCCGGGTGTGACCCAAAAAGCAAAAAAATAAATAAATAAAGCAATCCTCAAGTAAAACAATAAATTATCAAAACCCATTCCTTCTAAAAGCTGACTGGCCACATAAGCCTTGTGAATAAATGATTTCATTTTTCAGAAAGACTATGACTTTTCGGAGTGGAAAGAGGATATGGTGCTGGGGACTGAGCCTGGAGCCTTGTATGTGACCTCTGCCCCTTGGGTAGAGCACAACCCCAACCCTGTGGTGGTTGTCTGCTTGCTTGTTTCGATACATCCAAATGTGCTCAGGAACTATTCCCAGCTCTGTGCTGGGGGAGGGGAATCACGAGGGGGATAGGAGGTCAGTCACTCCCAGCAGTGCTCAGGGGCCAGACCACACAGTGCTCAGGCTCCCTGTGCCAGGCATGCCTTGCACGCACTCTCCAAGCCCTGTATGGTTTCTTAATTAACTGAATGCTCCTACCCACACCTGGGAAGACAATGCTAATAGAATTCTAAACCAAGACAACACAGGAATTGGACCCTGAGTAATTGTAAAAAATGTTACTGATTTCACAAATCACACTTCATTTTATATATTAAATACTTATTTAATCATTTAAGGAGGAGGAGCAAAACAATGAATAGTCATATGGCAATTGCAACTGCAGAGAACTATACCACACAACAGATCAATTTCCTGCTTGAATAATGAAATTATAAAGACCACTGTCTCTGTCTTCCCGTTGTTCATCAATTTGCTTGAGCGGGCCCAGTAACGTCTCCATTGGAGACTTTGTTGTTACTGTGTCTGGCATATCGAATACGTCACGGGGAGCTTGCCAGGCTCTGCCATGCAGGCGAGATACTCTCGGTAGCTTGCCAGGCTCTCCGAGAGGGGCCAAGGAATCGAACTTGGGTCGGCCATGTTGGCTGCGTGCAAGGCAAACACCCTACTGCTGTGCCATTGCTCCAGCCCTAAAAAATTATAAAGATATTCCTATCCAAACGAGAGTAAAGAAAAGTTACGCACAAAAAGTGGCACTAATAATCCCTACAAAGGAAAGGTATTATTTCATTGCATATGTACTGACCCATACCCCATAACAATAGTCAAATTTGAGAAGCTTTAACCAGCAGTCCCTCACACTGTAACTCCCCACATAAATATACCAGCAGTAAGTACAAAACCACCTTGATTCTGGAAGCACGCTACTGTGTTTCCATTTTTCTTATCTGGGATTCATAACAATCCTTTGATGCAGGCAAGGGCAAAATGAATTATCTTTATCATTTGTAAAGTGATGAAAGTAGAGAATACTATTGAAGGCTTTCAAGTGTGTGTGTGTGTGTGTGTGTGTGTAAAGAAGACTGGGGAGTGTCAGGGAAAAGGCAGGCGGGGACCCAGACTATTCTCACTTCATCTGGAGGAATACTCATCTGTTTAACTTCTGAGTAACATTCTATTTTTAAGAAAGAACTACCAGCTTAGCTCAGCACTTCTCAACCCCAGGCCAAATGGTCCCCTGTGGTCCCACAGGATCTTCTAAGTCACAGGTGAAAATCATATTAATATGAATGCCAAACCACAAGACTAGGGGGTCAACTGATAGGAAGAAATGTTCATAGGAAAGAAATAAGGTCAGAATGGGACCATGGTGAGAAAAATGTTGAAAAGACTGAATTAGGGGCCAGAGTGATAGTACTCCGGGAGGGCCCTTGCAGGTAGGATGCTTGACTAGCATGTAGATGACCAGGGTTTGATCCCCAGCATCCCATATGGTCCCTGAAGCCCACCAGGAGTGATCCCTGAGTACAGAGCCAAGAGTAACCCCTGAACACTGCCAGATGTGGTCCAAAAATCAAAGAAAGAAAGAAAGAAAGAAAGAAAGAAAGAAAGAAAGAAAGAAAGAAAGAATGGTGTCGCCAGCTGGTCAATCTGTACCTGTGAGGCAAGTGCATCAGCAGCCTCATGGCATCGTCAGGCTTTCAGATACCCCAAAATTGCTGCTGTGCCTTTGGCCAGACCCCAAAAACTTGGGCAAAGTTTACCAAGAAAGTAAACGGCCAAAAGTTAGGTATGTGGGAGACACACCCACAGACCACCTCCAGCTCAGCTATATTATCGGAGGCATGGCCTCTCTGGTTCCTGATCAAACTGCTTAACAGCCATGATCCCAGAGACTCAGAAACGAATCTCGGAACCCAAAGGCTTTTGGCAGAAATGCATCCTGTTCCTGCAGTAGGTTACTGGGGCTGGGCCACTGCAGGTGGGAATAGGTTTCGTGCCTTGGCCTGTTCCCCTTGGCGGCCTGGTGACCGTCATCCTCCAGAGGCCACTGGACAGTCAGGTTTGGGCCTGCAGTGACGAGACACACGGGGCCTCACCAGATGGGGATGAAACCAACCCTTTCCTCCCCATCCCAACAAGACCCCAAGTCATCGCCCACGAATGGCCTCTCTGGCTCCTGATCAAGCTGATTAATGGCCATGATCCCAGAGACTCAGAAACAAATCTCAAAACCCAGTGGCTTTTGGCAGAAATGCACCTGGACCGCATGCAAGGCCATGGCTCCAGAGGCAAAAGGACTTAATCCAGAGCCCAGCAGCTTGCGGCAGAAAAGTGAATGGACCATGTGTAAGGGTGTTAGGGTGTTGCTCCCTTCCGCCTTTTCTCCCCGCCACCCGCCCCCCCACAGCAAGGTGGCCGCAGCCTCAGAGCTTATAGGAAAGCCAGATATGAGCGGGCGGTGACTGGGCAACTGCAGTCTCTTGGGAAGGGGGGCGGCTCCGGCTCGTCCTTCACGCCCTACCGAGGTCCTGAGTTGCCCCCCATGAGCAGCTCTCTGGCACAGCCATAACACCAGATGCACAGAAACCAATCTTGCAATTATCTGGCTCTTTGTAGAAATCCAAAATTGCGTGGCTGCAATAGCAGCCACGCAACATTATATAATTCTCATAACCAGCTATTGAAAACAAAGTATTTCACAATGGCTTTTCAGCAATTCGGATTGTTGGGGGGGAAATTCTAAACAATAATGGTGCATCTTTTGTTGAAATAATGAATGTAATCAATGTAGAGAAGAGTTAAGTGGAAATCATCTGCCTCACAGGCATTGAGAGGGGTGGGGGGGCATATTGGGGTTCTTGGTGGGGAAAAATGAGTACTGGTGAAGGGAAAGGTGTCTGATCATTGTATGACTGAGACTTAAACCTGAAAGCTTAGTAACTTTTCCCACAGTGATTCAATAAACAAATATAAGACAATAAATAAATAAATAAATCTGGAAAAAAAAAAGTAAGGTGGAGTTCATGCCCAATTCAATCAGCTAATCAGTGGCTGAATAAATAGCAGTATTCCTACATTTAAAAAAAAAGAGAAAGAAAAGAAAGAAAGGAAAAAGAGAGAAAGAAAGACAGAAAGACAGAAAGAGAGAAAGAGAGAGAGAAGGAAGGAAGAGAGAAAGAAAGAGGGAAGGGAAGGAAGAAAGGAAGGAAGGAAGGAGGGAAGGAGGGAGGGAGGGAGGGAGGGAAGGAAGGAAGGAAGGAAGGAAGGAAGGAAGGAAGGAAGGAAGGAAGGAAGGAAGGAAAGGATGGATGGTAGCTAAGGTAGTCTCTAATACTCCTTTCAGCTCAGTGATGTAGCCAAGGTCTATGCAGCAAAGGAGTCAGGTGAAGCTAGCTCAGTTTTAAGTCACTGGAGCGATAACACAGCGGGTAATGTGTTTGCCTTGCAAGCGGCCAACATGGCCAACCCGATTTCGATTCCTCCGTCCCTCTCGGAGAGCACGGCAAGCTACCGAGAGTATCTCACCTGCACAGCAAAGCCTGGCAAGCTACCCATGACGTATTTGATATGCCAAACACAGTAACAATTGTCACAATGGAGACGTTACTGGGCCCGCTCGAGCAAATCGATGAACAACAGTTTGACACCATCAGTGACTCCTACATTAGCATACAGGAATGGCTTCTATAAACTAATGTGAGCCTCTTTAAAAGTTACAACTATCAAAACAGGGGAGAAAGCTCAATGGGCTGGAGCACATGTCTGGCACACAGAGGCCCCAAATTCAATACCTGGCAAAGCAAGCCCCCAAACACCACAGGACTGTCTGGAAATCCCCCTCACTGACCCCCACAAATTCAACTCTCAGAAAGAAACACTTGCAAACAGGGCAGCACTTCTGCATGTTAACCTGATTTTGATACTTTCTTTTTTTTTAAAATATAGGAAAGAAATAAAAATGATTACCTCTTCTGGGAATTCTTCACTGACCAGAGACATAATCAATGACGTCTTCCCAACTCTAGCTGTAGGGAGAACAAAAATCATTAACACTGTTTTGATTCTACAAAAGTTCAAATTCTGCAAGCACAGATCTGTTGTTAGCTGCAATCTGAGGCATCCAAACCATCAAGCTTCAGTATGATCATTAAAATACCTTTTATTCCTTAGAATAAGTTGCTCACATTTTTAATAGTAAAAAATTACAAAAAATAATATTGGATTACAAGGGGCCAGAGGGATAGTACAGCAGGTAAGGTACTTGCCTTACACGTGGCTGACCCAGGTTTAATTCCCAGCATCCCTTGTGGCCCCCTGAGCACTTCCAGGAGTGATTCGAGTTCAAACTCAGGAGTATCCCAGAGCATACTGCTTTAAGAGTATGCCCTCCACCCAAACTACTGAGAATACACACACACACACACACACACACACACACACACAGTCTCCTAGAGTTTTCCTACACATAGAATAACTGAGCACAGTGAATTTTCCTTAATTTTTTATCCTTTAATCATGGGTTGAAGCGAAAGCACAGCGGTTAAGGCGTTTGCCTTGAATGTGGCCAACCCAGTTTCGATTCCTCCACCCCTCCCGGAAAGCCTGGCAAGCTACCGAGAGTATCTTGCCCACACGGCAAAGCCTGGCAAGCTATCTGTAACGTATTCAATATGCCAAACACAGTAACAACAATTCTCACAATTTGTTGTAAAATGTTACTGGTGCCTGCTCGAGCAAATCGATGAACAACGGGAGGACAGTGCCTTTAATCATATTGATATCATATGGGTAACACTGGATATCAGCAGAGAGGGAAAGGGAAAGTTATTATTTAATGGTTACAAGCGCTTCTGTTGGGGGTGCTGAATAAGTTTTAGATCTGGAAAGTGATGTTGATTACACAGCAATGCATTTAATACCCCTGACCTGTATATTGACAAATGTAAGAAAAATGTTTTATCACCGTTAAAAAATAATGATTCGGGGGGGGGGGGGGCCTGGAGTGATAGCACAGCGGGTAGGGCATTTGCCTTGCACATGGCCAACCTGGGTTCGATTCCCAGCATCCCATATGGTCCCCCGAGCACCGCCAGGAGTGATTCCTGAGTGCATGAGCCAGGAGTAACCCCTGTGCATCACTGGGTGTGACCCAAAAAGAAAAATAAATAAATATTCAGGAGCTAGAGCAACAGCACAGCGGTCGGACGTTTGCCTTGCGCGGCTGGCTGGGCCAAGCCGGGTTCAATTCCTCCACCCCTCTGGCAAGCTACCGAGAATATCTCGCCTGCACGGCAAAGTCTGGCAAGCTATCCGTGACGTATTCAATATGCCAAACACAGTAACAACAAGTCTCACAATGGAGACGTTACTGGGCCCGCTCGAGCAAATCGATGAACAACGGGAGGACAGTTCTACAGTGCTATAGTTGTCTAAGGATTCTTTGTATGATGTGTCAGAATTTATTAACCTCAATTATTTTTACTGACCACAATTATTTATTAGCACTGTAGCACTGTCCACTGTAGCACTGTCCTCTCATTGTTTATCGATTTGCTTGTGTCGGCACCAGTAATGTCTCCATTGTGAGACTTGTTGTTGTTACTGTTTTTGGCATATCAAATACATCATGGGTAGCTTGCCAGGCTTTGCTATGAGGGCGGAATACTCTCGGTAGCTTGCCTGGCTCTCTGAGAGGGGCGAAGGAATCGAACCTGGGTCGGCTGTGTGCAAGGCAAACACCCTACCCGCTATGCTATCACTCTGGCCCAATTATTTATTAACTATAATTATAACAATAAAAATTGCTCAAGTTTTCCTTTTACAAACAATGCTGCAATGATTATCTGTCTGGGCTTTTTTTTTTTTTTGTCTCCTGTTTGGTGTTCAGGAGACCAAATAGTGCTGAGGATCAAACCCAGGGCTCCTGTAAGTAAAACATGTCCTTCAATTCTACATACAGCAGGTAACGTGCTTGAGCACAAAGTCAGGAGTAATCCCTGAGCATTTGCCAGGTGTCCCCGCATCCCAAACTGCTTTAAGGGTATGCCCCTCACCCAAACTACTAAGAGTACACACACACACACACACACACACACACACACACACACAGAGTATCTCTCTGGCCCCAACCTTGCAATATTTTCTAAAAATTTTTCCAAAAATAAAAAAAAGGGTGGGGGGCCTGGAGCAACAGCATAGAGGGTAGAGCATTTGCCTGTCATGCAGCCGACCTGGGTTCGATCCCCAGCATCCCATATGGTCTCCCGAGCATCGCCAGGAGTAATTCCTGAGTGCATGAGCCAGAAGTAATCCCCTCCCCCCACCCCGTGCATCGCCGGGTGTGACCCAAAAAGGAAAAAAAAAATTGGGAGGGGAGGGAAGCCAAACCTGCCTTGCAATATTTTAATAGATTAAAAAAAATATTTTCGAGGTGGGGCCAAGAGATAGCACCGTGGCTCCTGACCCAGGCTGATTCCCCGCACCACAAGCTTCCCCACAAATTGCTGGGTGCTGATCTGGAGGCCCCAGCACCCGTTGGGTGGCTGGAATACCCTCAGCACCACAGGCCCCGAGCAGCATCACAGCTTTGTTGCCAGGCACTGAACACCATGTCCCAGCTGACCAAAAACTGTTGATTTTAATCACTGGACGGTGATTTTATTTTGAAATTAAACTCTTACTGCCATCATTTTTTGATCATATCATACCTGTCAAAAAATACTGCTTATTAACTGAATCCTTTTGTGATTCTCAATGAAAAGAATCCATCTGCCTATTTATTAATCTCTACGTTAACTGCAAATTAGTTAATTAGTTTTCAAAAGTAAACTCTAAGCCTAAAAGCACAGGGGGCAGAAGTTATAGTACAGTGGGAAGGGAGCTTGCCTTGCACGCAGCCAACCCAGTTTCAATACCTGGCATCCCTTATGGTCCCTGAACCTGCCAGGACTGATCCCTGAGCACAGAGCCAGGAGTAAGCACCGAACATTGCTGGAGTAAGTGCTGAACATAGCTGGGTATAGCCCCCAAACCAAAACAAAAAACAAACAAACAAAAAATTAAAAAAAAAAAAAAACAGTCACAGGGACAGGAGTGATGGTTCAAAGCACTTCAGCAATCCACCTGTCCTGCTGGGAGAGAACCCCAGGAACCCAGCCAGGAGGAACCCCCACGCCCTGCCAAGTGTGGCACCGAAACAAAGCCCCCAAGAGTCACATTTCTTTTTTCTTTTCTCTATCCACTGTACTATGGCTCTGGCCCCTCTTTTTCCTTTCTTGAATGACTAGCAGAAAGGGTGAATGAAAACATAAATCAAGACCATTGGGACCAGCCAATGGAGAGGAACAACCCTCAGGGTGCACTGCACCCCTAAACCGGCCTGCAGGGCAGGAGAAGACTGGGGACCTTAAGAGCCTTTGAACTCTTCCTTTCTACAGATCTGTTCAACTGGCCAGTCTTAGAAGGCCTTTCGCAAGTGGCAGAAAATAAGATATTTCCTTGAGTTCCAATCATGTCTGGGAATACAAAGCCCATCAGAGAACTCAATGGGCTAGAGTACTAGAGTATACACTTTGCATGTAGAGGTTCAAGTAAAAAAAAATAATAATAAAAACGGGAAGAGGGTGCAACCCCTCCAAGCACCGTCACTTCAAGAGATGTGGAAATGCCATGGCCAGGGAAGTGCTCTCTGATGACAATCATGTGAGCGGGCCCACAAAACACCACTTGGGTGCCTTAATGAAGAGCGCGAGCATGTGCACACACCTCAGCCAAGTACGCATGCAGCTGGAACCACAGAGGGAGGGTCAAACAAACACCAATGTAAATGATGTCTGTGTCTACGGAGGATAGGCAGATGTGTCTGCATCTGTGTGGGACAAGTAAATGTCTACGTAAAATGAGCCGGTGACTGCGTAGGATAGGACGAATATCTATGTAAATGATGCCTCTGTGTGGGAAAAGTAAACATCTATAAAAATGTATGTCTGTGTAGGATAAATAAATTCTATGTAAATGTATGTCCGTGTCTATGTAAGATAAATATCTATATAAGTGTATGTCTGTGTAGGATAAATAAATATGTCTATGTAAATGATGTCTCTGTCTACACAGGATAATTAAATGTCTATGAGATATGTCTATGTAGGACAAATGTCTATGTAAATGCACATTTGTGCTTATGCAGGATAAATGTCTATGTAAATGTATGTCTGTGTAAGAAAAATAAATGTCCATGTAAATGTATGACTGTGTCTATGTAGGATAAAATCCATGTAAATGTATGACTGTCGATGTAGGATAAATGTCCATGTAAATGTATGACTGTGTCTATGTAGGTAAATAATCACACCCATGTAAATGTGTGTCTACACTTGTCTATATATTGTGTTGGGCTGAGAGCACATACCCTGCAGACTGGAGACCTGGGTTCCTTCCCTGGCACTGCAGAGTGCCCCGAGCACTGTCAGCAGTAGCTTCTGCACGCCAGTGAATGTTACCAAACCTCCCCCTTATTAAACAAGGAACTGAAGAGAAGCACTGGCCGTACAAATAGTATGTAAGTTTGTTAAAACAGTCGTGGATTCACTGGTGATGAATCTAACAGTTCTGACTCAATTTTTAAGCTTATTTTGAGAAAATTTCAGATTTACTGTTAAACTGCACAAACAGAACAAAGAACGCATGTCTATCCTCTAGCCAGATTTCTCACATTAACATTTTGCCACACTTACATTGTCATACCCCCTCTCTCTACACATACATGCAGTTTTTAAAACCATTTGAGGGGCTGGAAAGATAATGCACCAGGCAGGGCGCTTGTCTTGCAAGCAGCTTGCCCAGGTTCAATACCCAGCATCCCATTTGAACCCCCAAGTACCACCAGGAATATTTCCCAAGTAAAGAACCACAAGTTACCCTGAGCATTGCCTGGTGTGGCCCCCAAACAAACAAGACATCCTAACCATTTGAGGGTCCTAGAGAGCTAGCTCAATGGGCGAGAGTGCATGCAGGAGGCCTGAG